TGGCAATTCTCTCCGCGCCCAAATATAGCGCCCTTGATTGGAAATACTCTCCGCGCCTAAATCTAGCGCCCTTGGTGGGAAATTCTCTTCGTGCCCAAATCTAGGGCCTTTGGTTGAAAATACTCTCCGCGCCCAAATCTATGCGCCCGTAATATTAAAAAAAATTGGAGTGAGATTTCATGCGCACTTGAAATATCTCTAGGGGAGATGTGAAGCTCCTGTAATAACTAAAGCGCCCGTAATATTTAAAAGCGCCGGGAATGTCAAAAGTTCTCAAGATAGAGAATTAAAGCGCTAGTGACACCCACAAGTTCCTTAGGGGGGTGTAAAGCGTTCATATGATTATTATTTTTATAGATAAGGGGGCTATTTTTTCTTTTTGTGATCTAGGTATTACTAGAGGGATTCGAACCTGGAACTTCCAGGTTCAAGACTAGTATTACCGCTACACTTGTTCATAAAGCGTTCATAAGAATCATAACACCCAATCGGGCTGCAAGGGAGAAGGGAGGCGCTCGCAGTAGCCGAGAAAACTCAAAGCGAAGTGTGAAGCGACCACATCACCAACGTCGCTAAAAAGGTGATGGGTATTATCACATACCAGTATACAGCCAAGCTAAATGGTATTTTTATTATACACTGGGAGTGCGCTGAGGAAGAACTTCAAGGGTTTAGCTAAGTGTTTTCTGTCCCTACTCAAGCTATTTCATAACCTTGCTTTATCCAAATTCTAATCTGCATAGTATATTTGTTATCCTTTCCATTATTATGGCCATGTGGCTATTAAAGCTCCTGCCACGAAAAGGTAATAGGGTGTTTTGGAACCATGATCATTAAATCACTTATTATTAAATAAAAGAAGTGATATGTGATACATGAGGTAGCTCACTTAGATTGTGGAAGATATTTGTGGCCCATAATCCAACATGGCTGTCTAATTCGGACACCAAGTCCGTATTTTTTAGGCACTTTCGTTCTAGCCTCCGGTGATGCATCTCAAGAAATAAGCTAAGTGTTTTCTATCACTACTTGAGTTATATTCCTAGTTATTTTATGAATAAGATTTTGTTCCAACTCGTAGTATATTTGTGATCCTTTCTTTATGTAATTTATATGGTAATGGGGGACATGGACTGGGGGACAAAACACCAAAGGATCTTGCGTGAAACTTGATAAGTCGGGGGACTTTAGTTAGCCGTCCAGTGTACCACTGGGCGCCTAACTGGGGGACAATTGGGATAACATGTGCAGACACATTCAGGGTTTGTTCTAAGGCAAACAAATCTTCAATTATGCGACGAAAATATTATAACCTTGTTAGACATGAGGAGTATAATAAGTAGTTTTTATCACTACTTGAGTTATATTTATAACCATGCTATGAGTCATATTGTGATATATTACTCAGTCTTTGCATAGTCTTTGTTGTAAGTTGTTTAGTCAGCACGATGTTGGGTCGTGAGTCAACCAGCAGAGTTAAAGAGGCGCATGCACATCATACGCCGAATGCAGAGACTAGAAAAGTTTGACAATATGAAGACTTCTAGTTAGGCATCCAGTGTAACACTGAATACCTAATTGGGGGACAATTGTTGGGGGGGGGGGGGGGGGGGGTGTAGATATGGCGTAACCCAATCCGATCAGTAAATACGGTCTGTTGAGCATACATGAACCAAAGCCCAAGAAACACCACAAAGGCCCAATTGAAATCCAACAAAGTGTCACAAGACTTAACCTACGAATATGATCTTAGGTCTCCGAGTAAGGGATATCTTTTTCTCCTCTCTTCATTTTGACCAATGTAGTCAAAATCGCGCTTTAAAACTTAAAAACTTACGGTTTTACGCTTTTAGAACACTAAAACGCTTTCGTTTCCATATAAAATCTTAAGTGTATAAAATCGGGACTGAAATGCGCTTTAAAGCTTAAAAGCTTACGCTCTTACGCTTCTGGTTCACCAAAACGCTTTACGCTTTTACGCTTCTAGTTCACTAAAGGAGTATTCTATTCACGAAAATACTTATATTTTACAGGTAAATCACAAAAAAAAAGATATATTTAAGATTAAAAGATACATATCAAGTACTTGGGTGCATTCTTAGTTTCAACAGAGTAAATCTAATTCACCAACTAGGCGCTTCCCAAAATCACTAGCTTAGAGGAGAAGGTAGCTTATGGTTAAGATATATGTTTATGAACTTATTGTTAAAATGTTATGAGTTTAGACATGAATTACAGGTATTTATTAACTTATCTAAACTATGTGCACTCATATTTTACATAGTATATGTTGTACTTAACACATTTTTTGTTATTTTACAGTATGCGTAAAAAACTTACGTTTTTACGCTTTGATTCTACGGTTTACGATTTTACCCATTTTCCGCTTCTAGGTAGAATTGCGCTTTTGACTGCATTGATTTTGACATATCACTTCTCTCTCTATCTTGGTTCTCCTTATTTTCATATCGTAATTCTAATATTGATCGTCGAAGTGTAGAGATTCGGGCCACCCCCGTCCTTTCACAGATCCGATGCTTTCTTGTTTCTTGGCTGAAAAAGTTTTTGCATAAAAATGATTGCAAATTATTTTGATTTTATATTTTTAAATATTTTATTCATCGCTATATATGTGTAGCAAAAAAATTCGAAGGCCCCCTAATTGAAATCATGGTTTTATTCCTATCTGTACCACCTACGTTTTCACTCAAATTATGAAAATTTTGCTAGAAGGAATGAGTTCATAGTTATTGATGACAATTTGAACCCGCCCCGCGGGTATTCCTCGAACTGACCCGCGTTGGGGCAGATATTACCTGTAGTAGCGTGGGGCGGGGCATGGGTATCTATTTCATACCCGCCCTGCCTCGCCCCACCCCATTCTTGACCAATTTTATCTCAATTTCTTACAATAAATATCATACATATTTATCATATTTTGACTTTTATTCAACTTGTTAGAAGCGATCTTTCAACTTGTTAGACTCAGTTATCTATTATATTATCACTATTTTCATTTATAAAGTGTTTTCCCTACATATTATCATAAAAAGTAAAATTTGCTTGTATTTTATTCAAATAACGTGTTAGAATGGGTTGACCTGCCCCGCCCGACCCGTAGGAGCGTGGGGAAGAGCATGGGTATTGAGGTACCCGCCCATCCCATTGCCATCACTATTCATAGTGATCTAATTGAATCTACATATTTACCGGAGGAAAATTTCAAGACAAAATATACCATCCTGATATGGAGTGATAATTGGTGCTAATGTCAGTCAGTATACTATCATGTATACAACAATTGTACTTTATAATATATATATATATACACACCACCATGGTACACTTTCATTCCACATAATATATTTATAATATGTTTGTAAGATGAAGAAGTCTTTTTATGGACTTAAGCAATCTCCAAAGCAGTGGTACAAGAGGTTTGAAAGCTACATGCTTGAGCTGGTCTACAATAGAAGTCCTTATGATTGGTGTGTGTACCACAACAAGGCAGATGATGGTTCGATGATATATCTAGTTCTTTACGTGGATGATATGCTCATAACAGCGAGGTGGAAGTATGATGTCCAGAAGTTAAAGGGGCTTCTCGGTGATGACTTTGAGATGAAGGATTTGGGAGCTGCTTAGAAGATTTTGTGTATGGAGATTTACAAGGATAGAGAGAAGAAGAAACTCTTCTTGTCAAAGAAGAGCTACATTCGAAAGATATTGTCGAGGTTTGGCATGTCTTTAGCAAAGCCCTTGAATACTTAGTCATTCAAATGTTCATCTATCCTTAATTTATGCATCACAGTAAGAGGCTGAGAAGGAGTACATGTTGAGAGTCCCATATGCTAGTGCAGTAGGTAGTTTGATGTATGTTTTGGTCCGCACTAGACCTGATCTTGCATTGCTTGGACTTGTTGAATGTCTTCAGTGGGTGAATCCATTCTAAGGGACATTGATGACAGGAGAGACCGAGAGAATGATCAGAGTACATCAGAGATTTCATAGGAAGATGATTCAAGTTCAATGTGAAGATTTGTTTATATGACTTGAATTAGACTATCTGACTGACGATTGGATGTCACGATTGGATTAGAGTTAGACCATGGAGAAGTACTATAAATACTTCTCATACTACTCTGTAATCTGTATCTCCTCAAAGTATAGTGAAACTGGCTCTCTCCTGTCTGTGGACTAGCTGACACACATTGTGTTAATGAATCACATAAATCTGTGTGTCGTGTTTCGTACTTACTTTCGTATTCTTACTTTATCTTTCCTCCTATTTCTCGATCCGAGTAACAGTCATGATATTTATTGAACGGGAAACCCCGTATATTTCTGTCTTTTACTTTCCGCAATCACTCTATTTTACATTTTCCTTTCCAAGTTAAAAGACATTTAGCTAGCACAAGTAAACCCAAATGCATCAAACTATCAATGTCTTGCAATGGCTCGACCTTCATATAAAAGCAACACATGAATGAGAAAGAACCAAAGCCTTAGAATTGGGTTAATTGCATGGTTGGTCACTGAGATTACAAAAAACGTTCATGTATGGTCACTCAAAATATTTTAATCCATTCGTGGTCACTAAAATTAGTAAAACCGTCCAAGTTTGGTCACTCTCCGTTAGTCTCCATCCATCTCTGTTAACCAAGACCGTTATGTGCTGATGTGGCTAACAGAATCGCTTAGTCAGTCAAATTTAACCCAAAAATAGAAATCCGACCATCCATGTCACTATAACCCGCCATGTCATCTTGTCTAACACAACCCGACCAACCCTTGAATCAAACCGACCTACCTAACCATGTCTAGATCTAGCGAATCCCCTGCTGCCCACTAGTACCAGATTTTCGATAATCCAATCCCATGAGAAGGCAGAGGGATTAAGGAGATCCCATCCAACAAAGAGGAGAAAAAGAGGCAGGTGAGAGGCGGCCCGCGATCTGGCTCCGCGTTGGAGTTCTTCGTCTAGACTTCTGCCGCCGTGAATGAATCCCAGAATGACGAAGGAGGGAGTGAGATCGTGGATACTGATTCAAGAAAAAGGAGCAGAGTACCAAGCATTGGTCGTTCGTGGTGGTGACGACAACAATTTTGATGTACGCCAAGCTAGTAAAGGGGAGGCCAACACATGTACCACAGATGGGTGGGGAAGAAAGAGGATTAGATGGAGAGATGGGGAAGCAGATCGAGTAGCAGGGGTTCGAGAGATGAAGGAAGGGGAAGCTTTAGCAGGGATCGATAACTATATCTTTGGTTTGGTCAACTAAAGGAGGGTTTCCCTCCCCTCCCCAGTATTTACTCAGCATCCTTCCCTTGACTTCTCCACCCCCAAAAATTAATTCCTCTCTACTTTGTTAACCAACTCCAACCGGAAACTGAAGAAGTAAATAGTTCATGGTTAATAGTCAATCGTTATAGATTGGTGTTGGCGAATCATTTATGAAACAACTCATATAATAGATTGACTAGAGTTGGATGAAGGAAGTCAAGAAGAGGAAGCTTTAGCAGGGGGTCGAGAGATGAAGGAAGGGGAAGCTTGGAAGGTTTTGATTTTTCTTTCTGTTTCGGTTTCTAAGGAGAATGAAAGCGATGAGTTAGGCAGCTGTGGTTAGGGAATGGAATTATGGAGAGATGGGGAAGAAAGAGGAGAAGATCCAGAAGAAGCTCTGGACCAAAGAGGGGATTTTTTTGCTCTTCATCAAAGAGGGGTTGAGAGAAGAAGACTGAGAGACGGAAATTCGTTTTGTTTTTATTTTATTTTTATTTTAAATGATTAATAATCATTTGACATGGAGGGTTTAATGACATGGCGGATCGGATTTTATGACGTGGTGGGTTAAAATGGGGTGAGCATTTTTGTTTGCCACGTCAACAAATAACTGACGGCATTAATAGAGACGGACGGAGACTAACGGAGAGTGACCAAACTTGGACGGTTTTACTAATTTAAGTGACCATGAATGGATTTAAATATTTCGAGTGACCAAACATGAACGTTTTTAGTATTCTCAGTGACCAACCTTGCAATTTACCCCTTAGAATTTCACTTCAAACAAATTTTTTTATAGTAATTCATTCAATCTCGAACGACATTATCAACAAATTTAGCAACTCTACTGGATGATCCGTTGATAATGGATGGAAAGCTTGACACGATTGCAACCCAAGGAAGAAGTGACTTGACTATTCTTTTTGGTTAATTAAATTTAAATGTACTATTCACCTTTTCCAGGGCGAGTTTGCAATAAAGTGGCTAGGGGTGTTGAAATGGTTACCGTGGTTATAACCAAACCAATTAAGCCTAAACTTCATTAACCATGAAATAAAATGTCTTAACCAAACCGTCCAAATTAACACGAAAACCAAATTAACCAAACCAAAGTTTAATTGGTTTGGCTAATCGGATAATCGGATTAACCAAATAACATAACATTACATGAAAACATATCATCATCTTTAGAGTTAATATATCATTCATCATATCCGCACCTAATATAGTTAACTTACAACAAACCCTTAACATAAATTCATACATATACCCCTCATCAGGAAGTTAAAATCTCTTCCTACAAAACACTTAAACTATACATAGTTTGAGATGAGCTGGCTGTCATGGTATTATACGTGATCCAAAAGAAAGTCTAGTAGCTGTTAAAAAACCTGTACAAAAAGAGCTACTGCCAATATGCAATGCCATGCCTACGTTAGTTAGTTCCCACCTGCTTGAAAAATCAACAAAATAAACATAATTAGTTATCATTACATATAGCACTTGACAGAAACAAGAATAAGATTAACAAATACCACTCAAATAAAATCAAGAAGGCATCATGTAGTCATGTGGATTTTGATTCAGATACCATTCTCGAAAAGTTATGAATGGAAATATTTGTATTCGATTGTCTCTCTCTCCCTCTCAATCTAGGGTTCAATGTTATGGGGAGTGGGAATTGGAAAGTGGAGATTATCAGATTATCATTAATGATTTATTTGGTTAATTGGTTTCATTTGTTAGGAAAGTTGAAACCAAACCAAACAACCAAAACCAAATAAGCTAAATTATTTAACCAAACCAAACCAATTATCCAAATTAACCAAACCAAATTAACCGAATACTACCGGTTAATATGATTACCACGGTAACCAATCCGTTTGAACACCCCTAAAAGTGGCTACGAAATTATTGAAGCTGGACGTCGAGGGTAGCATTGGGAAATAGCAGCAAGATGTTCCAATGCTTACTCAATGTGTCGGTGGGAAGAGCAGTCACATAATCGACGATGAAATTAGCTCCATTGATACGACTTCTCGTTATGTGGCCCATGTAAGGACTAGGAGTGTTAATCCCCAACGATTTTGCTGACATCGATTATCATTTAATTTTCGTAAAAAAAAAATTATCATTTAATTGTGCTGACAAATCAAATTAGTTTTACTAGTAGTTATCTATGTAGATGGGTTCGGATTAATTTATCAATAATGCAAAAATAAAACCCCAAAATCTAACTGTTCATTAACAAATTTTTAGTATCTAACCACGATCATCGATCGATTATATAAATTAACTTAACCTATTAATATATACATTAATATAGTTTTTCAAGATGGGTATGATGTGCCGAATATTAGAGAAAATCAATAAGTTTTTATGATAACGATAGTCGGAATAGAAAATTGATTCCCATCAATGTATGTGCTTATGAAATTAGGTTTAGTTTGCTACTACCTGTTGTCAATACACATGTTAATAGAATATTTTCTACAATGGAATAGTTGAGCAGTATAATAGAGTGAAACGAAATTGTGAATGATTATATGGTGCGATAACATTAAGAACAATCTTAATAATTTGAATAATTATGTATTTTTTATTATAATTTATTCTTATGAAACATGAAATTATGAAATTTTATAATGAGTAATTGTTCAAAAATAATTTGACATTATCGTTTTTAATGCACCCATTAAATAAAAGTCTGACTACGCCAACTGGCTATGGGATTGTAATCAATTAAGTCATTTCATATAATTCAGCATTTTGGGTCAGACCATGTTGTTCTACCTATATTTAGTGTTGGTTGGGTCAACATTTATCAGCTCTTATGGCTTTGTCCAAAACTGTGAAAAAATAAAAAATCCAATAGAAATCACACATGTCACAAAACATAAAAAAGGAAGTGATACAAAAAAAAAAAAAAAAAAAAACAGAAAACGGAGTGATGATTGCATAGAGTAGTACGTAGAAACAAATATACAATCCAAGAAAACTCAAATAACAATCAGAAATACAAACAATAAGCCCTCTATCCACCACCAACTTTGTTGTACTTCAGTTGCCGGGGCCTGCCGGGGTAAGGCCGGGGATGGAAGGCATGGTTGGCAAACCACTAGGCAACGGCGGCAGAGAAACCTTTGGGATGGAAGGCATGTTGGGAATCGCGCCGGCGCTAGGGAGTGGTGGCAATGCTGACGGCAGCGTTGACTGCGGCAGGGTGGGCAAGGCGCCGGCGCTGGGAAGTGGCGGCAATCCTCCGGTTGGGAGACTTGGCTGCGGCAGGGTTGGGATGGTGGGCATAGGAGGCAATGCGGGTTTCGGCATTTGAAGAAGCTGTCGGGCCGCCATTCCATTTTCCATGTTGCAGAATGTGACGGCGAGGACGAGAGCAACGAGGAACAACTTCGAAGAAGAAGCCATGTTTATGAAGGAGAGGTTTATGGAAGGGTTGTTTTGCTGGTGTAAGTGATGGAGGAAAAGGTTTCAGAGGTGGAGGGTTTATATATGTATACAGGCAGTGGAATTTATGTATGGTCGAGAAGAGAAGTTGTGAGATTTTGTGTGTGATGATTAGTTCATCTGTTCTACCCATAAAAAAAAAAAAAACATTGGTGGGGTTGGTTAGGGAAAAAAGGCTACATGCATGTCCAAGTTTTCTGGAAGTCAGGAGTGGGACATGTACTTATGTAGTTGGTGGGTTATATAGCAGTCAGCTAACAATAACATGGGTCTCATCTAGTTCAGCTAACAAGGTATCTCACGTACATACGTCTGCTCCAAAAAGATTTGTTAATAAGCGGTGTTGACTGTGGAGTTCTAGCTCAGCAGGGTGTATTTTGCTGCTTTGACTTTTTGTTGGGTTGGTCAGGATAGAGGCTAGCAAATGTCCAAGTTTGGGTAATCTAGATAACACATTACTGGTGAGGGGGAATTCTTGCATTAAAAATTAGACTAAGCTTTTATTTGAAAGTTTGAGATTGTTACTTTATTTGTATGGTTTAGAATGTATCATTACAATATATTATTTTTTCATACACTGTTACTGAGATTATTGAGCTAGTTGAGTTGAGATGGTTTTACCTAAAATTTTAGATTATGTGACGTACACACAATCGCACATACCAAACGTTCATTAATGATATTGTTTCTCCTAAAGATTATTTAGGTAGTTTCGACTAGATGATCATGCACATAACTCATTTATGCTATGCATCCTGCATCTTCTCTATCGTGATGCCCTACCCTTCCACTAATTCATTCCTAACCGACCTTTCACCACATGCGAGAGGAACTACAACTAGTTAATCTATGTTTCGCTTCATTCCACTAACTAATCAATCATAACAAAAAATAAGGATAACTTGTTGATATTTGGGGCATCTATGGACCCTTGGTTATTCACACTTGTATAGCCATATAAGAGTTTTTTTTATTTTTATGCAGTAAATGACTTTTTATTTTTCTTATTTTTTAATTTGGTTTTATCTTTTTTGTTCTAATTTGGATATCTTAAAAATTTCTTCAGATGGAACGAGTTCATTGTGATCTACAAAATGATATACATTTTTAATATATTTCAAGATTTTTTTTTCGTACCATCTTTACAAATCGTTGTCATCCTAGTACCACCTGATACCACTCTGTATCACTTTCGTTTTCACTCAGATTTTGAAAATTTTACAAGAATGAATGAGCTCATTGTGATCTATTATAAATCTGCATATTTTTGGAGGAAATTTTCAAGACCAAATATACACTACAAGAAAATCTAGAAATAGAGACAGAGGTTATCGGCTTCTAAAAGCTATTTATTTGTTTCTGTATATCTATTGAAACAGATGAGTTATTTTCATCGGACGCCTCTGTCTCTAATTGTCTTTAGACGCAAACATTGTAACAAATAATATCTGTGTCTAATTGGGGGAATCGAAACAAATTTTTTTTGATTGCAATTCCCCTTTTAAACACACGGTTTCTATCTTCTAATTTTGTTTTAGAAACAAATATATTTGTTTCTAGAAGAGCTTATGGAGACATATATATTTGTCTCCAATGAGTATAATTTGAAGCAAATAGTTTTGTCTCTATATAAAATATATTATTTTTATTATTTTATTTAGATGTAATTTTTCATGGCCCACATATTTGCCTTTTTGTAGAGGATAAATACCACTGTGTTTTTATGATTAAAAAAAGTATTATTAATTGTATCCGATGAAATTTTGAAACATTATATTAAAAAGTGAAATACATACTGTTTCTAAAATACATGAATACATCCAGCGTATAAATACTTTTGAATACATTATTCTCTTTACAGTCATCATTCGATTGAAAATAGATCTCTTCACTGCCACCATTGGATTGACACAATGATCCCTTAACAGTCACCGTTGGAATTACACTAGGTCATCGTCGGATTGAAGACGGGCGGTTGTTGGACTGTCGCCAACTCTCTGTTCGTCGATCAAGGCCGCTATAATCTAAGGATCTGAAACAAAACATAGGAGACGATCAAACCATATACATGAGAAAAGAATCACGACTCCATTTGTAAAAAAGAAATCTCAGATCTACTCAAACAAAAACATGATCCAACATAAAGGAGCAGATCCATTCTCACCGTCGTCGCTTTGGCGTCGTCGGATACCACTGCAACTATGTCATACCAACGCCTTGTTGGCCGTGTCAGTGGCGTTGGCTTTTTTTTTGCCGCCGGCAACGTTGGAATGGCAAGCAACCTTTATCTTCTTCTCATCGCTGGAGAACTAAACAAAAAGTTATTAGAGCAGATTGATGAACCCTGCTGTGCAGAGCTGGAGAACCAAGGCAGAGGGAAGACGAAGGTTGAAGAAGAGTAATACGCAGCCGTTTGTTCAATCCGATGCCGTTTCCATTGTCTCCGTTACTAGCTAGCCGTTAAGTGTTGGACGGTTGTTTGTTGCCACGTGTTAGGCACAGTAATATTTAAATTACAGTTTTAAACTTCATTTCCGTTTTTACTGTAGTTGATTTCTGTTGGTATAAAAGGAAACAGAGAAGCATACAGCTTTCTCTGAGATTTTCCCCTCCAATCATTCAGCAGCTAAACCTAGCGGCTGCTTCCTTTCCTTCTTCTTTCATTTCTACTTCTTATGGTATCAGAGCGGCGCTGATCCATCTCTCCGCTTCTTAGTCTGCAATGGCGAACAATCCACCTCCACAAACTCCACCAGGTTCTCAAAACTCAGGTATACCATTTGGCACTTTCAACGCTGAGTCAAGTGGTGCTGGAGGCCAGAACTACAACAATCCTGGTGCGGATGCTCGTCAACAGCAGAATGGTAACAATACTCATCTGGGTCTGGTGTTTGGAAGTCCCTATTACATTAATCCCAGTGAAAACCTAGGCCAATCCATCGTTGCTGAAACCCTGGATGGATCTAACTACCAGACCTGGCAGCGAGCTGTAAGAATGGCTCTTAAGACCAAGCATAAGCTGGGTTTCATTGATGGCACACTTCCAATGCCTGATCATACTCATCCTGATTTCGTTTTATGGGATGCTTCAAATACTATGGTTCTCTGTTGGATTCTGAATTCAGTACATAAAGACATTAGCAGGAGTGTTTTACAGCATGAAAATGCAAAAGTTGTGTGGGATGAATTGAAGGCTCGATTTGGCAGGTCTAATGCCATCAAGCTATCTAACTTGCAGGATGAAATGGCTGCCTGTAAGCAAGGTAATATGAGTGTGACTTAGTACTATATCACACTTAAGGGTTTATGGGAAGAGATTCAGCAGTATAGCCTTGTGGTTGAATGTGATTGTCTAGCTGTAAGAGTTAGGCCTTGTGCAGCAGTTGTTGCTTATAAGCAGAAGCTTGAAACTGACTATCTGATTAAGTTTTTGAAGGGATTGAAATCAGACTATGATGTGATTCAATCTCAAATACTCATGCTTAAACCCTTGCCTGCTGTGGAAGTTGCTTTGGATGATGTTTTACAACATGAGCAGAAGTTACAAGGTGATAAAGGGAGAAGCACCAGGAGTATTCAGTCAGTGGCACTTGCTGCACATGGACAATCTGATCAGAATAAGAATTTGAACTCTAACAAGGAGACTAAGTATGAGAATGCTAGAGAAGGGAAGTTCTGTCGATATTGCAAGATGAGTGGTCATCTAAAGGAGGAATGCTATAGGTTGAAGAACAAGAAAGCACGAATGGCTGAAGGAGGTGGTTTTGTTGGTTCTGTTACCCAATCAGATTCACAAAGTGGTGACTCCATTTCCTCAGGACAAAGTGCTGGCTATGAAAGCAAATCTTCTTCAACTGGATCCCTCAGTTTTACTAATGAAGAACTGAACAAGTTAAGGCAACTTCTGCAACAGCCTGATAGAGACAACTGGATCCCTCAGTTATCCCCTTCTATCAAGCATGCCTCATTCTCAGTCTCACAACACTTACCATCTCAACCCAACTATGCTGGTAAATATGTTCTCTCTTCTTATGCTCAACATGGTTTGATGGCCCTGACTCAAGTCTGGATTTTAGATAGTGGTGCTTCAGACCACATAGCATGCACTCTTGCTGTGTTCAAACAAGCTAGATCAGTTTCAAATCAGTTTATTTATCTGCCTAATGGCTCTAAAGTGGAAGTGAGTCATATAGGTTCAGTCCAAATACCAAATGGGTTGATTTTACAAGATGTTCTACTAGTTCCCAGTTTCACTTTTAACCTAGTCTCCATTAGCAAACTTACCCATGACCTTCCCATTTCCTTGTTATTTGAATCTGACTCTTGTCATATTCAGGACCAAACAACCAAGAACCTGATTGGTTCAGCAAAATAAGATAGGGGACTCTACCACCTCACTCTTCCATCAAGGTCCACATCTGACATCTCATCCCACCAAGTAGCAACCACTTACAATTTCCTTCCTCACCAAATAGACCTTTGGCATTGGAGACTGGGGCATCCAAGTAGAGACAGAGAAAATCAAGCTACTGGATGTAATAGAACTTCTTTTAAACATTGTCCAACCTGTCACTTGGCAAAACAAAAGAAACTGCCCTTTCCTATTAGTGACAGTAGAGCTATTTCAGCTTTTGATATGGTTCATGTAGACATTTGGGGACCTCTTGCTGTTAAGTCACATGATGGCTTTTCTTATTTCCTTTCAATTGTGGATGATCATACACGCAGTGTTTGGGTATTTTTAATGAAACAGAAATCAGAAGCTTCTCATCTTCTGGAATCTTTTTGTGTTATGATTCAGAACCAGTTTAGCAAAACTGTTAAGGTTATAAGGAGTGATCAGGGGGGTGAGTTTCACATGATTGATTTCTACAATGCTTTTGGGATTGAACATCAGCTTTCCTGTGTGGAAACTCCTTAGCAGAATGCCAGAGTTGAGAGGAAACACCAGCATATTCTCAATGTTGCCAGGGCTTTACGTTTCCAATCAGGATTGCCACTTCATTTTTGGAGTGATTGCATCCTGCATGCAGTCTACTTAATTAATAGATTGCCTTCACCAGTAACTGATGGTGTCTCACCCTTTGAGTTACTGTATCATAAACAACCAGCCTTAGATCTATTAAATGTTTTTGGTTGCTTATGTTATGCATCTACCTTGTTGAGAGACAGAACCAAATTCAGTCCCAGAGCTAGGCAATGTGTCTTTCTTGGCTTCCTTCCAGGGATCAAAGGGTACAAACTCTTCGATCTTAACACACATCAAACCTTTGTTTCCAGACATGTGGTCTTTTATGAAACCATTATCGCTTTCTTAGACCCTTCTTCTTCTACTTCTGTTCCTACCTATTCACTACCACAACCTACTTATTCTAGCAATCCACCAATTTTTCCCAATAATCCTATTCCTCCTGATCCATTTTTCTCCTCTTCCACACCTTCTCAGACTTCACCTCCTTCTTCCTCTACTCCTTCTTCCTCAACTCCTCCTTCCTCACCTTCTTTTCCTTCTGCCACAGACACATTGCCTGCTTCCTCTGTTGGTGAAGTAGTAGAGTCTTCAGGAGTGAACTCTGAAGGGGAGGATGAGTTAGTTGCACAACTTGAATTTGAGGATGTAGAAGGTGGTCCTGAGTTAAGGAAATCTGACAGAATCAGAACAGTGCCAGTTTGGCACAAAAACTACAAGGTTGGAGCAGTTAGCAAGTACTCCATGGATAAGTATGTCACTTTTGACAAACTCCCACCTGCACATAAAACTTATGTGATGAGTGCCATGGCTGTTACTGAACCAAAAACTTATGAAGAAGCCTGTAAAGAACTGTGTTGGAGGGAGGCCATGAAGGATGAATCTGATGCTCTTGAAGCAAATCAAACTTGGGAACCGGCTTATTTGCCAACTGGTAAGAGGGCAATTGGTTGTAAATGGGTGTATAAGGTGAAACTTAGAGCTGATGGTACCATAGAGAGGTTCAAGGCCAGATTAGTGGCCAAGGGATTTACTCAAATTTATGGGATAGATTTCTTGGATACATTTTCACCAGTAGCCAAGATTAACTCAGTTAAGGTTTTGTTAGCTGTGGCTGCTGCTAATGACTGGCTTATACATCAGATGGATGTATCAAATGCTTTCCTTCATGGAGAGTTAAATGAAGAAGTCTACATGAAGCCACCACCAGGGATGAACTTACCTGACAAGAGAATGGTACTGAAGTTAAAGAAGTCTCTTTATGGACTAAAACAGGCCAGCAGGCAGTGGTTTGCCAAATTAGCTAGTTCATTGTTGAAAAATGGCTTTGCTCAAACTGCTTCAGACTATTCAATGTTTGTCAAGAGAATTCAGGGAAGAATGTTGATTGTTCTGGTGTATGTAGATGATATACTGATTGCAGGAGCCTCCTTGGGAGATATAGAACAATTGAAATTGTTCTTGGGAAGAGAATTTAAAGTGAAGGATCTTGGTGATCTAAAGTTTTTCCTTGGCCTGGAAGTTTATAGGGATGTAAATGGGATTCATGTGAATCAAAGGAAATACTGTATGGAGTTGCTGGAAGACACTGGATATCTGGAAGCAAAGGATTGCTTGGCACCAATTGACTACAAGTTGAAGCTATCTGCTAAGCAAGGGGAGCCTCTTCCTAATCCTGAAGTTTACAAAAGGTTAGTAGGAAGATTACACTACCTTACTATCACTAGACCAGATTTAACATTTGCTATCCAGCAATTATGCCAATACCAGAAGGATCCATATAGTGAGCACTTGCAGGCTGCCTATAGGATTTTAAGGTATTTGAAACATGCTCCAGGACAAGGATTGCTTTTTAAATCTGATTGTGAATTGAAGTTAAGAGGTTTTTCAGATTCTGATTGGGCAAGTTGCCCTGACACAAGGAGGTCAATCACAGGGTATTGCACCTTACTTGGGGACAGTCTGATAACCTGGAAGTCTAAGAAACAGAGTACAGTTTCTAGATCATCTTCTGAGGCTGAGTACAGAGCCTTAGCACACCTGGTTTGTGAGTTGCAGTGGTTGAAAGGATTGCTTGCAGAAATGGGTGTCAAAATTCCTCTACCTGTTCAGGTTTATTGTGACAACAGATCAGCTATCCATATAGCTGAAAATCCTGTGTTTCATGAGAGAACGAAACACATCGAGATTGATTGTCACATTACAAGAGAAAGGCTGAAGTCTAGATTAATCAAGCTTGAACATGTCAGAACAGAAGATCAGTTGGCAGATTTGTTTACCAAAGGCATGACAAGATACAGGCTGAAATTTCTACTTAGCAAGTTGGGAGTTTTGGATATACACTCGCCAACTTGTGGGGGAGTATTAGAGCAGATTGATGAACCCTCCTGTGCAGAGCTAGAGAACCAAGGCAGAGGGAAGACGAAGGTTGAAGAAGAGTAATACGCAGCCGTTTGTTCAATCCGATGCCGTTTCCATTGTCTCCGTTACTAGCTAGCCGTTAAGTGTTGGACGGTTGTTTGTTGCCACGTGTTAGGCACAGTAATATTTAAATTACAGTTTTAAACTTCATTTCCGTTTTTACTGTAGTTGATTTCTGTTGGTATAAAAGGAAACAGAGAAGCATACAGCTTTCTCTGAGATTTTCCCCTCCAATCATTCAGCAGCTAAACCTAGCGGCTGCTTCCTTTCCTTCTTCTTTCATTTCTACTTCTTAAAAGTGGCTTCAAAATCCATAAAAATACCGAGAAAAGAAGGAAGAAAGACTCACATGTTACGATCTTACCCGGATTAGGAGTTTCACGATCGGGCTACGGCGGTTTAGGCCATGTTACGGTGGTTAACGACGGAGGGAAAGGAAGAAAATGAATTATAGTCCTCCTTTATTTGTCATTCGATTCTCCGGAAAGTGGATTAGAAGGACAAGGAAGAAATTAATGTTTTTTTTTTTGTATCTGGGCAGATGGAACCATGAAAAGAGAGAAAGTAAAGAGAGGAGTTGGGACTTGGGCGGCCAAATGATGAAGGAAAGAAGACAAATCGTTTCTAGGGTTGTTTGGGGTAGTCACGGTAAAATGACAAAGTTAACCCTCACTGGTATGAAAATGGGTGTAAAAAACTCAAAATAGATAGATGTCATACGAAGTAAAGTAATTAAAAAATAAAAATACAATAGATGAACAAGATAATCAATCTTTATGGTACTTGCTTAGAGATTTTTAGTGGCATTTTTATTTGTTTCTAAAAGCTATTAGATTTGTGTCCATATAATATAATTATAAATGAAATTTGTATTTGTCTCTAAAGAATATTGGGTTTGTGTCTATATGACATAGTTATAAGTGGCATTTGTATTTGTCTCTAAAGGCTTTTAAATTTGCTTCTATATCACATAGTTATAAGTGACATTTGTGTTTGTCTCTAAAAACTATAAGATTTGCCTCTATATCATATACCATCCCTAACATTTGTATTTGCTTCTAAAATCTTGTAGATTTGCCTCTATATGTATGATTTAAATATTATATTGACGCAAATAGAATAAATGCCTCTAAAATTATTATTTTAGTTTATTTTATATAAAATATAAGAGAATATTATGAAACAGAGACAAATAGTTTCACCTATTGAGACAAATAATATTTTTGTCCCTAAAACTTAACTATAGAAACCAATAAAATAATTGCGTCTAATTATTTGCCTCTATAAGCTAGTTTTCTTGTAGTGATACCACCCTGTGTAGGGTGGTTAGTGGTGTTAGACGGTAATGAAAGGTGGCAATGTTAAATAATATTCCTTAGCTCGTAACTTGTTTGGTTAAGTGGATTGTTCGAGGAGATTGGTTTCCATGTTACTCTTTTGATGGATATATGGGTTGATCTTGATTTAACCATTAAACTCATGACCCAGTTGCTTGACCATGTTGATCCGGGGAAAAAATCTTGGATATGGGTTACGACGAGAGTGTAAAACAATTGTGTCTCAGTGCAATTCTAGTTTAGTGGTTAAAATGGAGGTAATTTGCAGGTAAGAAATTAATATAAGGGAATGTTTACTTTCATTTCTGATTCATGTTTTTGAGAAAACAGATGTTGAAAACAGGTGAAAACAATATTTTGTAGTTTCCGAAAATAGCTGGAAGTTGTCACTTTCTGTTTTCATAGTTGGAAACGAATAGAAAACAGAATAAAAAGTAAACATGTTTTCTCGTTTTTGTTGCCAAATTTATCATAAGTCGGATCGTTATGAGTGAGGGATGCGGATAAGTCATTAATATATTTCAACGTCTTGGTTGAGTTCATGTTGGGTAGGGATGGTAAAAATATCCGTGACCGTGGATATCTGTCAGAATCCGGTCAAATCGGGTAGGGTAAAACTCGAACTCGAAAAACATTTAGTGGGTACGGGTAAAATCCGAACCCGAATATTACGGGTAATGGGTGGGCATGGGTTTCTCACTATTCAAACCGAACCCGCCCGATTATACATATACATATGTATTTTGTCTTGAAATAATCATTATTTTTATCTAACATATTTTATATTTAGCATCTAAATATAATATTTTCATGAAATTGTGTTGTTTTAATTAATTATCCTCATTCTAGTGAATTATTGTCGTACTGTTCCTCTTACGTAATGTAAGAATACGTGTGAAGAGAAATTATTAACCATGGATAACCGTGGATACCCGAAACCCGAACGGACATGGACATGGTTTTGATTTTCTACCCGTTCCACAAGTAGGTATGGGTATGGGTAAAACCCGAACTACTTTAGGTAGGGTAACGGATATGCACTATCCGCTCCCGACCCGATCCATTGCTATTCCTAATGTTGTGTTATACCTATTAGTTTCAAAGTTACAAGTATGAGTTGGATCGACGTTTATCAACTCAATCTTGTGGCTTTACCAAAAGTAACGACAAATGATACGAGCGTAGAAACCAACGTAGAATCGAAGAAAATCAAATAACAATCAGAACAGAAACAAACAATGAGCCCTCTACACATGCAATCACAAGATAGTACTAGTTCATTCAGTTGCCGGGGCCCGACGGGGTAAGGCCAGGGATGGAAGGCATGGTTGGCAAACCGCTAGGCAGTGGCGGCAGAGAGACCTTTGGCATGGAAGGAATAGTGGGCATCGTGGGAATGGCGCCGGCGCTGGGTAGCGGTGGCAATCCTCCTCCGGACGGCAGAGTTGGTTGCGGCAGGGTGGGCAAGGCGCCGGCGCTGGGGAGCGGTGGCAATCCTCCGGACGGCAGGGTTGGCTGCGGCAGAGATGGGATTGAGGGCATCGGAGGCAATGCGCCGGGTTTCGGCAGTTGGAGGAGCTGTCGTGCCGCCATTACATTGCCCATGTTGCAGAATGTGACGGCGAGGATGAGAGCAACGAGGAACAACTTCGACGAAGAAGCCATGTCTTGATTTGATTTCGTGGCCAGGTATCTAGCTATGTGTATGGAGAAAGGTTTGGAAGGGTTGTTCTGTTGGATGAGAAGGTTTCAGAGGTGGAGGGTTTATATATAGCCACTGAAATTATTAATTAGTATGGCAGAGAAAAGAGTTGTGTGATAAGTAGTAGTTCACTTTCTCACCCATAATTAAGAATGCAGGTGGGGAGGGTTCGTCAGGAAAAAAAAAAGGCAAAATACATAGTCCAACTTTCGGTAATCTAACATGACACTAGCTAATCTAATTTATGGGAATTCTTTCATTAAATTATTACCAATCTTACTGTCTCATACTCATCATAATTCTTTATTTTCAGATGGATGCACTGACGAAATGTTTGGTTTGAACATTTTTTTTTTTGCCTCGTAATCCATGTAAATAATGAGGTTTTGTATCCATATAACGTAGGTACAACATAAGCAAAATTAGGTAACCTAGCTAGACTAGAATGCATGTCACACATTTTCGGGTCCAGATCAGGTCAGTAACTGATGGGTTAGTAACCCATCAGTAACCCCTTTCATGGTCCCCACGTGTCAGTCACTTTTTTATTTAAATTAAATGTGAAAAGGGTAGTACGGTAAAATTGCACTTTCTCCTATTTATTGCTGATGCTGACTTTTGACCGTACCACATCAGCGCCTCCTTCTCTCTCCTCGCAAAACATTTAATTTTCCTTCTCTTAATCCTTAACTGACGATTTCTCACTCGTTTTAAGTCAAAATTTAGTTTTTTTTTGCACAGTTAGATCAGATTAATTGTGCTCTTCAAAATGATATCCACTTTGATATTTTTTGGACACAAAAAAATTTGTCAGTTATTACCAGCGTATACCATATGGTATTGACTGTACCATATAGTATTGACTGGTATTAAACAAGAGCATACCATATGGTATGAAAAATTTTGCCACATGAATATATATTTCGTTACTAACATATGGTATAATGTGGTAATATCAATATATATTTCGTTACCACCCAATACCATATGGTATGAAAAATTTTGCCACATGAATATATATTTCGTTACTAACATATGGTATAATGTGGTAATATCAATATATATTTCGTTACCACCCAATACCATATGGTATAATGTGGTAATATCAATATATATTTCTTTACCACCCAATATCATATGGTATAGAGTGGTAATACCATATGGTATAGAGTGTTAATATCAATATATATTTCGTTACCACCCAATACCATATGGTATAGAGTAGTAATACCAATATATATTTCGTTACCACCAAATACATATGGTATAGTGTAGTAATATCAATATATATTTCGTTACCACCAAATACATATGGTATAATGTGGTAATATCAATATATATTTCGTTACCACCCAATACCATATGGTATAGAGTGGTAATACCAATATATATTTCGTTACCACCCAATACCATATGGTATAGAGTGGTAATACCAATATATATTTCGTTACCACATAATACCATATGGTATAGTGTGGTAATACCAATATATATTACCTAAAAGAAAGGGGGAAAAACAAAAGGAGGGAGAGAAAAAAAAAACTTGTCTTCTGTCTCATCCCATTTCATCCGCAACCAAAGAACACCAAACGCCAAAAAAAGGAGAAAGATCGAAATTAAAGCCAACGCGTTGATGAAGAGAAGAAAAGCAATTAAAGAGGGTGACTTCAATTTTTATTCGTCGATTGCTAGAGAAAAAAAATGAAGATGGAAGAGAGCAGATCTAGATTTGAAAAGAAAATTGTGAGAGAAAAAGTAAGAGAGAAGGAATAGAGAAAGAGAAATGATCTGAAAAGAGATAGGAAAAAAGGAAGAGAGAAGGAAGAAAGTAGAGTTGCAGAGAAAAAGTTATTCTCCCTCTGTCATTGAAAAGTAAGCCATTGAAATGCGAAATAAATAAATAAAAATTAAAAATACAAAAATGGACAAAATGCCCCTCCCCACCCCCACGTCCAACCAACCACACGATTGCTCCATCCCCCCGATCTACAGCTCCCGTATGTTTACTGATAGGTCACTAACCAGTGGTTACTGACCCTATCCCAAACCCAGATTTTCAGAGCTGGGTCTAGTGTAGGGTGTTCACATCTTACCACACTCTACTAGTGGTTAAGTCGAGCTTACAAATAGATCAAGAGGTCAAGCAAATATTGCATAAGGCTGTAGATCGCTCCCACACAGATTGGTCTACCAAGATTGATGACGCTGTTTGAGCATTATCGAACTATCTATAAAATTCCCATAAGTTGATCTTAGCCTTTTGCACAGTTAGTTCCTCCTTCGATCTCTTTATTTTAGCGTTTACCTACAACGAAAGTTTGTACAAGGTCTGAACATGACCATGCCCTTGTCGTGGTATCTGTTAGTTAAGTTGACTGAAAACTTAAGAGTAGCTTATCTTTATTCCCAATTAGTATCATTTTATACCTTCTAACAATGATGACAATCAAACTCATGGCCGCGGGTATCCGACCGCCTCTATCACAGTCAACACCGGAAATCTCTACTTTAACTGGGTATGGGGTGAGTATGGGTAAAGGCTCAAAAAGATTAGTGGGTATGGGGCGGGTATGGTTTTTCACTCCCCCGTCTCATACCTATACCCAAACCCGCCCTACCAAGAATATTATGTTACATGCATAAAATATAAGGAGCCTATTATATTGTAACTTGTCAATGGGATGAAGGGTAATTAAACGAAAAAAATAAAGTGTGAAAATGTAATTGGTGGCAACCAAACCATACCTAATTTCATCCTCTTATATATTAGTTCCATTATTCAGGCGGGTAATATCCTTATTTGTCATCATATTCATTTATTTATGGTGAGTAGTTGATAGAACGGGTATTACCAATGGATATGTAGATGGGTTTGTAAAACCTTATGCTGCATGTGTATGGACCGGGTATGGGAAGAATTGATTTCGTCTAGAAAATTAGGGGATTCTACAAACATATATGGTCAAATGGACAGAACCACACAAATCCTGAGGTTCCAAAAAGATCTTGGGGCTGATTTTCTATCTAATATGTGTGCCTCAAGAGGGTAATAAGGCTAAATGAACTCTGTTTGAGATAGTCCACCTGACTGACATTGAAGGAAGATGCAATGATTTTTCAGTCTTGTAGGTTTCAGGTAAGCTTGGGGTTTGTCTTATGCATTAAAATTGGGGGGTTAAGGCTTGGAAAGTTCAGGCAACAGCGAATTCAAGTTATAGTAGAGCACTAGATAGCATTTGAATAGAATATTAGATACCATAAAAAATATAATAATTATCATTTTCCATTAGAATATCAATTTTACTAGAAGGTCTTTTAATTTGGTATGTCCATCAATAATGAAACCTCCATCCATACCAATAGCATACTCTAGCTCTCTCAAAGAAAATAGCTAAGCAATCAACGAGAAATTTATCGTTCATTTTATTGCGCAAATTAGTTTCACATGTTTCATTGTTGAAAATGTTTTCACCATGGTAGCGGTTGAAACAAGCAAGGTTAACACTAAACGAATCAACCGACAAATCAATTAACCATCTCTGTTTCCGTCAGCTTCTCTAGTAATTTTGTAAGGGAACAAACTTCATATTTCTGACTAGGAACCACATGAGCGGCACAATATAATAGCTCATTCTTCAAAGAATGCATCTCATAGCCTTCAAAGTCTTGAGGCTAAACTCTTGAGCAAGTTTGTAAATATTTCTTCATAAAAAGACCGAAAAAAAAACTATTAGGATCTAGCTGAAGCAATCTATATGGTGACTCAACAAGTTCGTAAATACTTTCTTAATCAAAATACTAAAAAGAAAATCAGCTCCCGACGCTCTAGCTGAGGAATCCATATTGGATGCGTTCGTCTCTTCGTTCTTGTTTTTGTTTTGTGGGGATTGGAGAATTTATTAGAGTTTTGACAGGGAAGGGTGAACTTTAGTTTAAAGGTTTATTTTTATTTCAATGAAACTTTATACTTAGGTTTTAGACTTTTACGTTTTAGACTCTTAGGTTCTATTGTTTTTTTTTCTTTTTCAAATGAAAAGTATTCGGACTAGAATTTCTAAACTAAAATTTAGAGTAGTGATTTGGATATGTTCATCTAGACTATTTTCTTCGTGATACAAAATCTTATTATCAAATAACACTCGACCGACTTTTAAATAGCACTGAACCAAACACCTAAAATCGAGAAATTTATAAACACTATACTATTGAAAATCATATGTAAAAATATCATAACTCGAAGGTAACTGAGAAATGGACAAATGATTCTATTGATGCATACAATAGTACAAACAAATATACAAGCCAAGAAACTCAAAATAACAATCAGAATACAAACAAGCAATGAGTCCTCTAGACACGCAATCCCAATACATAACAACATATCGTCAAACTCCGTAACACTACTTCACTCAGTTTCCAGGGCCCGCCGGGGTAAGGCCGGGGATGGAAGGCATGGTTGGAAAACTGCTGGGCAGTGGCGGCAGAGAAACCTTTGGCAATGAAGGAATAGTGGGCAGGGTGGGAATCGCGCCGGCACTGGGTAGCGGCGGCAAAGTTGGTTGCGGCAGGGTGGGAATGGCGCCGGCGCTGGGGAGCGGTGGTAATCCGACGGACGGCAGGGTTGGTTGCGGCAGAGATGGGATGGTGGGCATAGGAGGCAGTGCTGTTGGTTTCGGCAGTTGGAGGAGCTGTCGAGCCTCCATTCCATTCTCCATGTTGCAGAATGTGACGGCGAGGATGAGAGCAACGACGAAGAACTTCGACGAAGAAGTCATGTCTCTTGATTTGATTTCGTGGAGGAGATTTCGGAGGGATCTTTTGTTTGGAATCTGTTGGTTCAAGTAATGGATGAAAAGGGTATCAGAGGCGGAGGGTTTATATATAGGCAGTGAAACTTTTAAGAATGGTCGAGAAAAAGTTGGCTCGTGTGTGATTACTGATTAAGTAGTTCACCCTCCTTGTCCATAGAATTGGTAGGGTTGGTTATGGAAAAGTCCAGTACATGTCCAAGTTTGGGTTATCTAATATGTGACTAGTTTTGGGGGAATTCCATTAAATTATATTTAAGTTTGCTGCCTCATCAGTCATTACCATAACAAGTCTTTACTTTAGAAAAGAATGCACTGATATTATTCTCTTCTTATTTGGTTTTAGATTAATAAGTTTTTGTTCCTCTTTCTTGTTTGGAGACAATTATAATTGTTCCTAGAACACCTTATCTATTTGTTTCATGAGCAAATAATTTTGCTTCTATTTCAACATTCATAATTTTGATTAATTTTAAACTTTACCTACGATGAGACAAATAAAATAAGAATTTCAATTTTATTTATAAATTTCTAATACATTTATTCATAAATACATGAATTCATTGCCCATACGACATAAATACAAAAATACATAAAGAATACGTTGTGTCTACAACATTTACGAAGCTAAATCATCTACTGATCTCACCTATTCTCTTGTTATTTTGATAACACCAAAAAGCAAACACTTGTATTAGTCGTCTCTCAACCTCGAATTGGTCAAATTAAAGATTACCAATGACAACAACTTGAGATGTCACATCTTCTTCATTCACCTTATCCATATCCTAGCTCTAGACAAACTCAAGACTCTTTTCTTATTCTCTTTGCCCTAAATTAAGCAATCAAATCTACTTTATATATTTAATTATTTATAGCAAAGGTAATTAATTTTCGTATTCGATAATACCGATTGGGATACCGAAATACCGATTGGAATACCAAAATATTTAGAGATTGCGATTGGGATACCAAAATTATTTAGTGATTGGTATTGTGATTGAACCCTTTTGTATCGGTTCAAAACAATTAGTAAATAGGCTTTACAAGTGTCTGTTTATTAAAGGCTATTAATAAATATGAACAATATTCTCAGGAATGGTAATTGAACCCAAATCCATAGATAACCAACTCAATTTAATCAAAGCGGTTAAAATCTATGTTGATAATTTTTTTTTGTTTTTGCCAGGTGAATGGGATGACCATGAGGGTAAAAGTGAATGAGTGAAGAGAGAGTTGAAGAAAATGAATTAGGTTTTGATTTAGGCGGTCACTCAATTGCATTTCTACTATTTATTTACTTGAGTTATCCTCACTATCATTGATAGTTTACAATTTGGTTCATATAATAATTTATATGTGAAGAAATACTCTTGGTGGGACGGATATGACTATGAGTATGGTGGGGGAGGGGGGGGGGGGGGGGTAAAACCATACACGCCTCATACCCATCTATTGTTTTGCGGGTTTTAGACATAACAGTCCATACCCGGCCGGTCAATGCGGGAATTCCCTACATTAACTAGGTTGAAGGCGGTCGGTTACCCGCAACTATGGGTTCACTTTCCTCCCCCTCCAACTTCCCTTTCGCTTTCCCCTTCCAACTTTTCCTTCCTTTCCAATTTTTCTTCCGCCATTTTCCTCCTTTCCTATGGAACAGGATGTTAGCAATCACAATGCCCACCTCCATGAGGCTAAGATAGGCTTAGGCGTAGAGTTCCTGCTAGTTGCCTCTTCAATTGCCTTGGTGAAAAGGCGAGGTGTGACAATTTGCAAGGAAACTCAGAAAAGTAGCATTTAAACCCAACATGCGTTCCACCCAACATGCACCAATAAAGAAAAATGATATCCTCTTGTATACAATTGGATTGATATGAATAATTTATAAATATTATTAGTATTTATGAAAATATAAATCTAATAATGTGGATAATTCATGAATGTTGGTAGTCTTTATTGCGATATAGTTGAAGCGGAAATTTCGATAACATTATGATATGAGTGTTGAAAGAAATAATGTATGGTTATATTCATTAACCGTAGTTATCGGGTTTTTTTAGGGAATGCGTTCGTTGGGTTGGGTTTGGGTTTAGAGAAACCCGACCCAACCCAACCTATTGCCATCCCTATTATACTTCAAATTGTTGTCATTCAACTGAAATGGCTAGTAAAGTCTTGAGATGTTATTTTGAATGGTCTGAATGAGAACGAAAGAGGAAGAAGCCAATAGCTGGTGAGTTATCAGTTAGTTTGATTTGCTTAACCAACCCGAACCACATTGGATCGAAACCATTCCAACTACCATATTGTCGAATCGATGCAATGGTTGAGTTTTCTTTTGGTGAAACATTGCAATGGTTAGGGTGTAGTCACCCACCGGAAGGTCACATCCCTTCACTTACACCCCTTTATTTTCTATGGATATCATCTATCCCTTCATTTTTAAATACAAGTTTTCCCAAGACATTTTCTGGCCAAAAGAAAAGAGTTTTCTTCTTCATTGCATTTCCTCTATACAAACACATAAAAGAAAACAGAGTCGTGTGACTTCTCACCGTTTGTTGGTTTCTGGGGTTTCAATTACCGACTCGTCAGAAAGATACGTCTGTTCTATTTTGGGGAGAATAGTTCCATTAACGACCTTGGGTAGAGGGGAACTAAATTCCTTAAAGAAAAATAGTTTAGTCTATTGGCTTGAGCATTGTTTATGTATGTTTTGACAAATTTCATATGCATGAGTTCTTTGATTTCTTCTCATTGATTTCTTGTTCATATTTTGATATACATGTAACTTGTATATGAATGAAGGATATTTAGTAAATCACACATGTACACGAAACATAAAGGAAGTGATACAAACTCAAAAAGTAACTGAAAACGGAGTAATGCATACAATAGTAGAAACAAATATTCAACCCAAGAAACTCGAATAATAACAATCAGAACAAAAAGAAACAATGAGCCTCTCTAGACGTACAAGCAATCCCAAGAAATAACAACGTATCATCGAACTCCAAAACACAATGATATCCACAAACTTCATTCAGTTTCCAGGGCCTGCCGGGGTAAGGCCGGGGATGGAAGGAATGGTTGGGAAACCACTAGGCAATGGCGGCAGAGAAACCTTTGGGATGGTAGGAATTGTGGGCATGGTCGGAATCGCGCCGGCGCTGGGTAGCGGTGGCAATCCTCCTCCGGACGGCAGAGATGGGATGGTGGGCATGGCTCCGGCGCTGGGGAGCGGTGGCAATCCTCCTCCGGACGGCAGAGTTGGCTGAGGCAGAGATGGGATGGTGGGCATAGGAGGAAGTGCTGTGGGTTTCGGCAGTTGGAGGAGCTGTCGAGCCGCCATTCCATTTTCCATGTTGCAGAATGTGACGGCGAGGATGAGAGCAACGACGAAGCACTTCGACGAAGAAGCCATGTCTGATTTAACTAACTTGTCGGAAGAGATTTGGGTGGGTACTTTTGTTTGGGATCAGCTGGTTCAAGTGATGGATGAAAAGGGTTTCAGAGGTGCAGGGTTTATATATAGGCAGTGAAATTATTTATTAGTATGGTCGATAAAAAGTTAGATCACCTCCTTACCCATAATTTGGGTTATCTAATATGTGACTAGCTAGTTTTGGGGAATTCCATTTAATTATTACTAATTAAGTTTGCTGCCTCATCAGTCATAACCATAACAAGTCTACTTTAGAAAAGAATGCACTGAATCTGATATGTCGAATATGCATCTCAGGCTTTCAGCTTAGGTTACCTAATCTTTGTCTCTAGGCCTGCCGCCAAACGCGAACTTTCCGAGTCTAGGTTGAGATAGGTGCTTCCCCGTTAGGATCCCATCATAAGATTCATTATGAAAAATCAATAAAAGATCAATACGATTCTTATTATATTCGTGATAATTAGTGATGTTAAGGTAGATCCAACGTAAAAGAAAGAAAAAAAATATATATATAACTCATGTTACTTTTTTACGATGATATCATGACATATTTTCATGTTTTGAAAAAGGATTTAAAATCTATTCACCACAAGAAACAACATACTAATAGTTTTTCTAATGTGCATCTCTGCTAGTTTAACCAATAAGATACCAAGAGGTGTTGACGCCGTTGAGGTCTATTTGTGCTAGTTCAACTACCAACGAATAAGTGGTATCATCATGATATATATCATGTACCAACATAATTTATAAGTATATATAAATATACTTGTTTGTCTAAAATTTTAAAAGAGAAAGATTATTTTCCCCGAAATAGAAGTCATTTTATTTTTGTTATTCAATTTTTTTGAAACTATAGATAAAATGGAGATGTTTTCTTGACGATAAAATAAATTTTACTTTTTTCTATTGTGATCAACCGTGTTCTCTAACTTTCAAGACAAGCATTTGTAAACCCGATTCAAGTCTGAATTTCTATTTAACGCCCTAAGTATTTAAAATGATCTCCCTAAACTTACCCAAAAAGACAATTCTACCCCAATCCCAAATATGGCAGCCCCCAATTCCCAAAACAGTCACCAATCCATCGCCCTAATCGCCGTAATTTTGCTATGCTTGAGCCGGCGCCGGGACATCCTCAACCGTAAGGATCTCGACAAATTTCCATGATCGGCGTCCCCTTCGCTTCTCTGTGGCGATAACCATTGCACCCACCGCCATCTAAATATGGGAGAAAGCAAAATGGAACCCCCTCCCCCCTGATATAGTGTATTGATTTAGTCTACCCATTATGTATTTTTTTCCTTAGTTTTAGCTGATTAGTTACTCTCACTTCCTTAGAAATAGGCAGAAAGTTATAATCCTATTGTATATATTCTCAAGATCAATAATATAGTAGATGGGTTTTGCATTTCATTTACATGGTATCAGAGTCTCTTGCTTAACAGCTTACAGATATAGGAACCCTAAAACTTTTTCTTTCCCTCACCTTTCACGCCGGCGGGATGAGCCATCACTCACTCGGTACCTTTTTCCCTTCCGCCCATTAATCCCCTGCATCCCCAACTACCACTCCAACCTCTTCACCTGTTCCTCTGCTCCGTATCACCATTGTCGCCGGTGACCCAGCCTCTCCATCCGCCAGCTGCAAGTCTTCTATTTGTCCTACCGTAGATGAATTTTACTTCCTCTCCACCTTCCTATGTTTTGTCTTCCTAATGCAATGTCACAGTCACCACTACAACTTTTCCTTCTTTTCTCTTCCTCTGCCAGATTGCTCTAGGAAAAGCCCAAGACCCACTCACCATCAAATCTTCCCCTTTCTCAATGTTACATTCATGCAACATATGATTTGCTTGTCTCTCGAAGCTTGGGTCGACCTCTTTTATGGAGACGTTGCATCTTTTTTCCTTTCTCTTCAAATCCTTCTCTTTAATCTTACTTACTTTGCCACAAAGAAAGCCTTCCCCTTTTATTTTCTTTCTTCAACTTCGACTCTACGCTTTTAACACATCGTGTTGTTCATCATCACTGTTGGTTGTTCATTATTTTGCCCCCATCTCACACCTTGCTTCTATTCTTCCTCTCCTTCTTCTCTAAGATCTAAACGCTCTATACTTTTCTCTCATTTACTTTCCCTTGCTCTGTTTCTATTCTCTCTCTGCCTCGTGCTTCTTGTTGGGTCCTTTTCAGCAGTTGTTAGCGGTTCCACTACTTATACCATCGTCCCAAGCCTCCCTCTTTCATACCCCTTTCTTCTACTTCAATTGTTCCCCTTTATTCTCTCCCCTCTCGTACCTCTGCCTCAAAAGAATCTCTCTGCTCTCTTTCTAATTTGATTTCTAGTCCTCCCACCTTTCTCAAATGCCAACCTACCCATGGCTCTAGACTCCAACAAACAACATAATTTTGGCCTCAATGGTTACCGAAGTTTGTTGCATCACGCTGATCAAGTTCTGTGAATACCGACAATATACAAAGCTCGTACGTCCTCCTTTCCCCACCAACGACTCTGCCAAGTCGGAGATGAAGCATACTCAAGTTGTCACCACATCAACGCCTCATCCAGTGACTAGGGATCGCCAAGAACCAATTTCGATTCATTACCTATAGACCCTAGAACAGCTTCCCGATGTCCTCACCAAATTATTGGCTCGCCTCCCTTTTCAACAATTATGTTCCAAGTTTCACCTCTCAGAGGTTTCACTTGGGGGGGCGTGATAGAGTGTATTGACTTTGTCTACCCATTATGTATTTGTTCCTTATTTTTAGCTAATTAGTTATTCTCACTTCCTTAGAAATAGGCAGAAAGTTATAATCCTATTGTATATATTCTCAAGGTCAATAATACAGTAGATGGGTTTTGCATTTCATTTACACCCCCCAGTCGTCGTTTTTAAACCGTTGAGGGGATAATGATTAATAGATGAGAGAAACCCAGAAAGTGATTGATCGGATTCCGACTTCTTTCCTTGAGCAGTGAAGCTTCTCATCGGGAAATATAATTTATGCAGTAAAGTTGTCAGGTACGGAGGAAGAAAAGAAAGGAAGCCTTTTAGCCATGGAAATGGCGTGGAAGAAGAGGAAGAAGAAAAAATGGGGAGGGCAGAAACAATAAGGAGGTGGGTGGCACAGCAGTAGAGTTGGCGGCGTCGAGGGGCGGAGCAGAGCAAGGGTAACGATGGATTTAGGGCGATACAATTTGAATTAGGGAAAAATGGGTAGTTGTAGTTTAATTTAGGGCGATGATTTTAGAATTTTAGGGCGTTAATTAGTAGCTCCTTTCCCCTTTATTCTCTTTGCTTTCTGTTTATCTATTGAGCAATGAACCCCTTCTCTTTTTCTCTTGTACGGGGAAATTTTGATTCCAATTAACTTACTAAAAGTGATTGCTTCATTTCATTAGATAATAAATTTTAGAACATAATCTCCATTTTCTTCAAAATTTCAGTTCATTTTACAAAATTATATGCATTTCTTTTTAGCATATTTCTTTCTTTCAAAAAAATAAACTTATTCATTTATTTCCCATCTTTTCTACTTCAAACCAAGAAAATATGTATATATAACACCTATAAAGAGCTAAGAACCAACAAATATTAAGTGTATGCAAGACACGCTATGGTATTTAATCATGGTAAAAGTATCTCAAATTTTATTGCAACGAGAACCCAATGCACGAATTGAGATTGTTCCAATTCTTTAAATATATGACAAACTAACGCATGCCATTTGAGTATATATTCTCGCGGGTTCCTAGAAAGGGAATTTGTCATATTACAATAGGTGAATGAGATGTAAATTTTGAATGTATCGTTTCTCGTGTTTCACTTGAATGTATCATCATTAGAAAAGAATGCACTGATATTATTCTCTTCTTATTTGGTTTTAGATTAATAAGTTTTTGTTCCCCTTTCTTGTTAGGGAGACAATTATAATTGTTCCTAGAACACCTTACCGAAACAAATATTTGATTCGTGAGCAAATAATTTTGCTTCTATTTCAACATTCATAATTTTGATTAATTTTAAACTTTACCTACGATGAGACAAATAAAATAAGAATTTCAATTTTATTAATAAATTTATAATACATTTATTCTTAAATACATGAATGCATTGCCCATACGACATAAATACATAAAGAATACGTTGTGTTTACAACATTTACGAAGCTAAATTATCTACTGATCTACCCTACGTTGGTGAACAACCTATCACTGACGGATCAAAACCCAATCTCTTCAACACTGTTCTTCTCCTTTTTTCCCCTTCCTTTTCCTTGACCAAATCATTAACGAACCACAAATCAAACAGATTCAATTGAGGCCTTTATGCTGCCGCTGCTGCTTCTTTGCCCTCAAGATTGCAAAAGCTCCACCCATCCCGCCTCAAACAAACAGATCGGAGATTCTTCATATGAAATCCAAATCCAGTTTAGGCGACATTCACTAAATCAAAACCCCAGATCTGCAAGGACAACATCATAATTAACATAAACAAAAACATTAATGATTGAGAAACCCTCTGTTTATGTCCCTAACACTCATAGCCTTTGTTTCCTGCAACCAGTGAAGTCGATTACGGGGAGTGACTGGCTCAATGCTGATTAATACTACCAAGTCTGAAGAGATTTACCACCTCGATCCAGAAAAGGTAAGAGGAGTACAAATGTCGATGATTTCAAGGCGGCGACTCTCAACGAAGGATTACAACATTAGATCATTCCATCACTATTTCACAATTTAGAAGTCCCCATCCAACTCAATTTTGGCTTTCCAATTAAAGTCACCCTCGTCTCTCACATATTCTCTTGTTATTTTGATAACACCAAAAAGCAAACACTTGTATTAGTCGTCTCTCAGCCTCCAATTGGTCAAATTAAATATTACCAATGACAAGAACTTGAGATGTCACCTCTTCTTCATTCTCCTTATCCATATCCTAGCTCTAGACAAACTCAAGACTCTTTTCTTAGTCTCTTTGCCCTAAATTACGCAATCAAATCTACTTTATATATTTAATTATTTATAGAAAAGGTAATTAATTTCGTATTCGATAATACCGATTGGGATACCGAAATACCGATTGGGATACCAAAATATTTAGAGATTGCGATTGGGATACCGAAATTATTTAGTGATTGGGATTGTGATTGATTTTAGGATGAAATTCAATATTTGGGATTTCAATATTTGATATTGGAATATCGATACCGTAGTGATTTCCGCTTCTAAGTCAGTGCCTACGTCCACGAGGCTAAGATAGGGTTTGGCATAGAGTTCCTGCTAGTTGCCTCTTCAATTGCCTTGGTGTAAAGGCGAGGTGTGACAATTTGTAAGGAAACTCAAGAAAGCAGCATTTGTCCTCTTATTCCTTTTGTATCGGTTCAAAACAATTAGTAAATAGGCTTTACAAGGAAAAATATCTCAAAGTACACTAGTTCTTAAAAAAAATTCTCAAAATACATAAGTTATAATTTTTTTTTCAAAATTACACATGTTTGGCATTCACCGTTTTTGACAAACGCAGTGAAGACTATCACCGCATTCGTCAGTTTTTTGATGATGTGCAAACAGAATTGCTGACCGAACCGTTAATTTAATGGCATATCAGTTTAAACAAATAAAAAATTACAAAAATAAAGTATATTAATTAACACTAGATAGGGTGGCCGCAGCACCATGAACTTACCCTCTCCCTTTCCAAAAATAAAAATAAAAATAAAAAATACTTCCCCTCTTCTTTGCCTCCCTTACGGTCTCTGATTTTTCTCCCTTTCCTCGACATAGGTGTAGCGGGGCACCCGGCGAAGGATGATGAGTTTCGGTTGTTTTCGTCGGGAACAGAGACATTTAGGTTGGTCAACGATAACGATCGGCCCCCCTACGCCGCCTTTACCGCCCTTCTTGTCTTTGGAATCCTAGGAATTCCTATAGTCGCTCAAGCTCGTCGTGGTAGAGCTGAGGAACCCGTACGAGGGGTGAACTCTGCCGACGGGAGAAATCGAACCACCGTTAATGGAGGTTATTCGCAATTTGATTAACGGTCAGTGACTAATGGTGAAACGATTTATAAAGTTAGTGGCGAATAAGAAAGAAAAGTGATTCAGATGAAAAATATGAAAAATTTATATAATTTGAGTAACCAAACGTGTAATTTAACTGAAATCTCAAAATTAAGCGGGAAATGTGAAACACATTCTTTCTAGCCTCAATGCAGTCCTTTACATATTCATCAGGATGTTTGCATCATTATGATCCATCAAGTCATCTCATATGGTTCGGCAAATTTTGGGCCAGATCATGTTATACTACCTGTCATAAAGCCACTCACAAGGGTTTGAAGTTGGCACAGGTCCACATATCATGTCCTTAACAAATGGGGGTTACCGGAATTCGAACACAAGACCTTTCGGTCACACAAGGCTCTGATACCATGTCATAAACCAGTTGATCCCAATAACTAGAGTTGTTGGGAGAGATTCAATTGTAAATCATATACCTAACACTACCTATTGAGTATGGTTGGTTCAACATTTATGAGAGCTCATATAGCTTTATCCAAAAATGAGAAAAATCCAATAGAAATCACATGTACACGAAACATAAAGGAAGTAATATAAACTCAAAAAGTATACCTGAAAAACGGAGTGATGCATACAAATACAATAGTAGGAATAAGTATACAAGCCAAGAAACTCAAACAACAATCAGAACAAAAACAAACAATGAGCCCTCTAGACAAGCGATCCCAAGACAAAAACAACATATCTTCAAACACCAAAACACAATGACATATTATCCACCGACTTCGCGTGCTACTTCACTGTTAGTTTCCGGGACCCGACGGGGTAAGGCCGGGGATGGAAGGCATGGTTGGAAAACCGCTGGGCAGTGGCGGCAGAGAAACCTTTGGGATGATGGAAGGAATAGTGGGCAGGGTAGGAATCGCACCGGCGCTGGGCAGTGGTGGCAATCCACCGGACGGCAGAGTGGGCATGGCGCCGCTGGGGAGTGGTGGCAATCCTCCTCCGGACGGCAGCGTTGGTTGCGGCAATGTTGGCTGAGGCAGAGATGGGATGGTGGGCATAGGAGGCAGAGCTGTGGGTTTTGGCAGTTGGAGGAGCTGTCGAGCCGCCATTCCATTTTCCATGTTGCAGAATGTGACGGCCAGGATGAGAGCAAAGAGGAACAAGTGGGAAGAAGAAGAAGCCATGTCTGATATGACTTGGTGGAGGTGTTTAGCTATATATGTTTGGAAGGGTTATTTTGTTTGAGTTTTGTTGGTGTAAGTGATAGAGGAAAAGGTTTCAGAGGTGGGGGTTTATATACATGTAGCCAGTGAAATTATAGGTATGGTCGAGAAAAGAGTTGTGAGATTGGGTGTCATAATTAAGTAGGTCATCTCCTTTACCCATATAAATGCTGCTTGGGAGGATACACGGTCCAAGTTTGGGTAATCTAACTAATACGACACTTATATATATATATATATTAGATAGTGATGTCGTGCCTTGTCGCGAAGCGGAGATAACCTATGTGCATGTATTATTTGGCCCGTTCCCCGTTATGGAGTTTTGTTAGTATTATATGTCTAAAATTAATTTTTTGTTATCAGTTTTGTTAGTAATATTGACTTGACAATATGATATTGGCTGGGAAAAGATATATGGCAATCAACATCCAATTTATTTATTTTGGTTGAAAATTTTGGCTAGTGAATGATATTTACCTAAACCCTAGTAGACCTATTGACTATGGGTAGGGTATGAGTGACGTATATATGGGTTTGGAAGTTTGTAGATGGGTTTGGGTATTGTATGGATATTTACTTCCATAATCTAAACGTGTATGAGTTGGGTATGGATACCCATTTATTCGAGGGTGTTTCAAATATACATACAAAAAGTAGACCTATTTGTAGAACTTCAAAAGTTTAGGTACCAAAATGTAATACACAAACCTTTAGGTACTAAATGTAATGTTCCATCAATATTTTGAGGACTTATATGCCAAAAAATTAAATTTAGGTAATAAATCTAAGATCTATTAAGTTTATGTAAATAACTGTGATTTGCATAGTTGAGGCTTAATTCCTTTTATGGTGATGTATTTAAGATGATAATTATTTACTTTTTTATAGAAAAATGGAAACTATTTATTTGATATGAGTATATACCTAACCAAACATTTCAATTATGATTGTTGAAAATTCTAGCACGGGTGAAAAGAAAAACTCTGGAGAGAAGTAAAAGGAATACAAACTGGAACTCGCTTAAAATTTCATGTCTTCAAATCCCATAGTAGAAAATAATGACTTCCTAATAAGTAATAACCACATATATATATATATATATATTTATTTTTAGTTGGACTCGACATTAAGTTGAAAAGGTTAGTGGTTCATGGTTAAATTTTTAGTTCTCTAAACTGTTGGTGAGCCGTGTATGGACCTGTTCATACTTGTGATTAAAATACATAAAAAAAAGTAGTATACTAATTAGGGTTAAACGAAGAAGGCAAAGAAAGAAATAAAGAACGGGTTATGGAAGGTGAGTGAAATATGAAACGAAAAGAAAATAGATGATTGAACGGTTTTGACCAACTCTTTTAGTTGACCGTCAATACAACAATCAACCCTTTTCACCGTAGCAATTTATTGACCCTTGCTTATGCAGATATCGCATATATTGTTACACGTAGTTAGTAGAAGTTTGTTTAGTTCCCCGTAAATGTACTAAATGAGTTTATAAATTCGTTCTTGCAATATTTTAGAGTCGTCTCTCTTTTATCAAATATTAATGTTTCACGTAATGAGCAAATATAAAATGGTCAAATTTCTCGTTCAGTTGAGTGATACAACATCTCGTATGGTACAAACTGAATTTATACTATCATGTTATGGTGGATTGGATTTGTGGATTGGTTCAAAAGGATTGGTGGATTGAATTCATGGATTCAAGTGAAATCTAAACATTGGACCAATATGTAAATTTTAAAAATTGTAGGTACGAAAATCTCATAAAATTTAGATACCAAAACATAATTGTTCAATGATTTAACATTAAAATTAAATTTGGGGTATCAAAATGTAGAATATACAAAGTGACTAAGTTGTAATTTGTTATGCTACGCTAACTCTACTTCGACTTTATAATATAGTATGTTATGGTGGATTGGATTTGTGGATTGGTTCAAAAGAATTGGTGGATTGGATTCATGGATTCAAGTGAAATCTATATATTGGACCAATATGTAAGTGAAATATAAAAATTAGACCAATATGTAAATTTTAAAAATTGGAGGTATGGAAATCTCATAAAATTTAGATACCAAAACATAATTGTTCAATGATTTTACATTAAAATTAAATTTGGGGTATCAAAATATAAAATGTACAAAATGACTAGGTTGTAATTTGTTATGCAACAGTAACTCTACTTCAACTTTATATATAGTAAACTAGGTGGCGATGGCGCGCCTTGTTGCGGAGTGAAGATGACTTATGTGCATGTATTATGTGGTCCGTTATGGTGTTTTGTTAGTATTATTAGTCTAAAATTAATTTTTTATTAACAATTTTGTTAGTAATATTGACGACCATATGATATTGACTGAGAAGAGATATATGGCAGTCAACATCCAATTTTAATTTATTTTGAAAATTTTGGCTAGTCAATGATATTTACCTAAATTCGAGTAGACCCATTGATTATAGGTAGGGTAATGAATGACATACATATGGGTTTCGAAATTTATAGATGGGTTTGGGTAGGGTTTGAATATTTACTTTCATAATCTAAATGTGTATGAGTTGGGTATGGATACCCGTTTATTCGTGAGTGTTTTAATTACATATACAAAAATTAAACCTATTTGTAGAATTTTAAAACTTTAGGTATCAAAATGTAATACACAAAAAAATTTAGGTACTAAAGTGTAATGTTCCATCAACATTTTGAGGAATTATATGCAAAAACAATTAGGTTATAAATCTAAAGATCTATTAAGTTTAGGTATAAAACGGTAATATGCGTAGTTGAGGCTTAATTCCTTTTATGGCGATGTATTTAAGATGATAACTATTTACTTTTTTAATAAAAAATAAAAACTATTTATTTGATATTTGTAGATACCTAGCAAAATATTTCATGTATAATTTTTGAAAATTCTAGTCCGGGTGAAAAAGAAAAACTATAGAGAGAAGCAAAAGAAATACAAAAGAGAACTCGCTTAAAATTTCACGCCCTCAAATTCCATAGTGGAAAATGACGACTTTCTAATAAGTAATAACCATATATATTTATAATTGTGATTACAATACATAAAAATACTATACTAATTAGGGTTAGACGAAGAAGGCAAAGAAAGAAATAAGTAACCGAGCTTCACATTTATATATATATATATATATTAATATAGAAATAATGAGGTTCTATTATAATGAGAATTGTCTTCGACTTATACCTTGACTAATTATTACAATTAAGAGTTTTGGACCACTAAAATGAAGACTTCTCTATCACCACAAGAAACAACATATACTAGGTGGCGATGTCGCACCTCGCAACAGAGCGGAGATGGCCTATGACATGTATTATGTGGCTTGTTATATTGTTTTGTTACTATTATTAGTCTAAAATTAATTTTATGTTATTAGTTTTATTGACGGAGAAGTGATATATGGTAGTGAACATCCAATTTAATTTTTTAGAGAATTTTGGCTAATAAATGATATTTACCTAAAGCCAAGTGGACTCATTGATTATGGGTAGGGTATGGGTGACGTATATATGGGTTTGTAAATTTGTAGATGAGTTTGGGTAGGGTATGGATACTTACTTTCATAATCTAAATGTGTATGAGTTGGGTGCGGACCCATTTATTCGAGGGTATTTTAATTACACATACAAAAATTAGACTTATTTGTAGAACTTCAAATGTTTAGGTACCAAAATGTAATACACAAAACTTTTAGGTACTAAACTATAATGTTTCATCAATATTTTGAGGACTTATATACCAAAAAAATCTAATGATCTATTAAGTTTAGGTACTGAAACCTAATTTGCATAGCTGAGGCTTAATTCCTTTTATGTTGATGTATTTAAGACGATAATTATTTACTTTTTTACAAAAAAATGGAAACTATTTATTCGATATGTGTAGATACCTAGCCAAACATTACATGTATAATTGTTGAAAATTCTAGCCTAGGTGAAAAGGAAAAACTCTAGAGAGAAGCAAAATGAATACAAACTGGAACTCGACATTGAGCTGAAAAAGTTAGTGGTTCATGGTTCAATTATTAATTATCTAGACTGTTGGTGAGTCGTGTATGGACCCATTCATATTTGTTATTAGAATACATAAAAAATAGTATACTAATTAGGGTAGGACAAAGAAGGCAAAGAAGAAATAACGAAAAGGTTATGGAAGGCGAGTGAAAAATGAAACGAAGAGAAAGTAGATGATAGAGAGGTTTATTTGACCAATTCTTTTAGTTGGCCTTCAATACAACAATCAAATTTATAAATAAGTTTATGTAGATGTCGCATATTTTGTTACATGTAGTTAGTAAAAGTTTGTTTAGTACCCCGTACATATACTAAATGAGTTTATAAATTTGCTCTTGCAATATTTTAGAGTACTTTCTCTTTTATCATTTATTTAATATTTCACGTAATGAGCAAATATAAAATGGTCGAACCTTCTTCTACATTTGAGTGATAAAAACTAAATTTATACTTTTATGTATAAACATTGTAGGTACGAAAATCTCATAAAATTTAGATAACAAACATAAATTATAGTGACTAAATTGTGATTTAATTAAATTTGGGGTATCAAAATGTAAAACGTACATTATAGTAACTAAGTTGTAATTTGGTAGGTAACAGTAACCTCACTTCTTTTTGGGTAGTATGGGTAAATGCCAAGTTTTATCACTAGGTTACTAAAATATGTCATGTTTAGTCACTGTAAAAAATTAATATCAATTTTTGTCACTCGAATTAGTAAATACTAAACGATCCACATTTAGTCTTTATATTATGTGGCAGTCAACCCTAATAGTTGACCGTTAAATGTCTGACATGGAAATTAAACGAATTAAATTTACTTTTTATTAATTTTTTAATTACCATGCCAGAAATTTAACGATGAACTGTTAGGGTTGACTATCACATCAGATAAAGTTAGGGGAGAGTGACTAAACATGGACCATTTTACTAATTCGAGTGACCAAAATTGATATTAATTTTCTTCGGTGACTAAACATGAGACATTTTTAGTAA